AGACCGGGCTCCAGCTGGCGCGGCGCTCTGACCGACGCTCCACCTGGGCACCTGCCAGGGGTTAACGATTCCTGCCCAGATTCACATCGGGATTTTCAGAGGCTTTTTTACCTTATTGTGTGATGGACTGGATATCACAAAGGGACACGATGCTTTAAAAGTCAAAGAGTGAGTTGGGGCCGGCAGGTGGCATGGTGGTTAAGGCAGCTGGACATCCACATGGCTGACTGTGGTTCAAGTCCCGAACCTGGCAGCTTGCTTTCTCACTTTCTTTCTCTTTCTGTCTCTCTCTAGTCAACTTCAAAAAAAATTTTTTAAATAAATAAAATAATGACGATGAATAAAAATTAAAAAATAAAAGTCTAAGAGTGAGACGCATACTCCATGAAAGCGTCCTTCCCAACCTGTGAACTAGAGTATTACATGTCTAGGATGATCTTTCTCTTCGCTCTGCGTGGGGAGATAAGAGGGAACGGCATGTCCCCTGGCCACCAATGCATGGCTCAGGCCGGACGGGAAGGTGCTCGTGAGAGCGGGCCCCAAGTCGCTCAAGTGCTAACATCCCAATCAGGGGTCCCAATGCTCCAGCTTTCTTTAAAGCAGCGATGCAGCAGAGAACAATGTCGCCCTGGGCTCGGAGTAACTCACTGTCAACACTGTCACCAACATAATCTTTCATGACAAGAGTCCCACGTTAAAACAGAAAAGGACTTGCAGACATGCTTATGTAATGCCAAGACAAACACGTTTTTGTTTCACACTGGTTGGTCCTGTTCCAGGACCATCTTGAGATCATTCTTACTGTAAAACTGATTTAAGAATTCAGTTTAGCACAGGGCCCTGGAGCTGACTGCCTGGGTCCAAGCGCTATGTGCCACTGACCACCTGTGTGACCTTGAGCCAATTACTTAACCTCTCTGTGCCTTCATTTCCTTATCCAGAAAACTAGACCATTAATAGTTCCTTCTTTCTCCTAACTTATTACAAGAATTAAGCACCATATAGTTATTCAATATATAAAACTGATGGGCCACATCTGATATAAAATTACCTTTAGAGACCAGCTAAAGTACCTTTGGAATAGTTTCTGCTAGCCAACAACTAACATTTGATACAGTCAAATGAACACCCCGGTAGGGACGGACTTAGTTTCTTCGGTTCCTGTCTGTGGCAGGCCACAGCAGCGCTGTGGGGAGGGTCACTCCTCTCATTCCCTTCCCTTTGTGCGCCCCCCCCCAGTTCACTTCCTCCCACACCGTCAGACCCTGCCCACTTCTAAGAGGACAGGACAGGCCAGCAGCAGAGACCAGGGCGAGGCATGTGCACGTTTCATTTCTCACTTCTCTTTGGTAAATAGCAAGTGCATTCATAAAACGGAAATGTATTTTCCTTCGAATTCCAACCCACTGGCCCTGGGTGCGTGGTGGGGGAAGCCGGCCATGCAGACAGGCATGCACTCCGCAGTGTAGCCTGTGCTTCCTGTGTCTCCTCCGAACCGCTTTAACGCAGGAGGAATTTCAAAAGGCTGCCCATCGATTGCTTTAAAAATGTATGGAAACATGTTTATTATTGACGCGGTAAGCCCTTCCTCAAACCGAACACACGCCACCACCTCCAACCGCCACCAGCTCTTCATTTAGAACTCTGTTTCTGGAAAGCAGACCCACTCAGACTTGTCTCTGCAGACGCACAGCATGAGAGAGATAGATGAAAAGAAAGAAAGAATGACTCAAGACATCAGGCAGCCTAGAATGGAGGCACCTGGTCTAGGAGCCCGGGGACGTGGCACAAAAATTGTCACTAGAAACTGACGTGGTGCTACCGTTTGACCATGTCCCCAGATCCATGCGTTGAGACACTGGAATAGGATTCAGAGTGAAACCTGGTCCAATGATGGTGTTGAAAGCAGGGACTGTGGGGAAGGGATTAGGATTCAGCTCATCAGTGTGGGCCCATGACTGATTCATGGTGGGTTTACGAGGAAAGGGAGCCAGGGACAGGCACAGGTGGACACCGGCCTGGATCTCCTGGTCTGCCCTGCTGGGACGCAGCCACACTAGCCCCCATACCCCCACAGAGAGGCAGCCCCTGGACCTGGGTGCTCCAAACCTTAGCTGAATTTACGCTAATTTCATAAATCACCCGACCCCAGTATTCCTGTTAGCAGACTAAGACACGTGGTTTGGGTAATTCACCCCGTCAAACTGGGACACAGATCCTTCATTATAAAATAAGGTTATCTGAGGACCCCTTCAATCTGTAAAATGTCATATTTCAACCCACTCGACTGACACAGTTCCCCTGGAGTTGCGACTTCTCTGACACACCAAAGAAAGAAGAAGATAAAAATATGAAAGTTTTCCAGTTTCTATCAAATATCTTAGGGTGCAGCCCTGTGGCCTGTGGTGAAGGGAGCCGGAGCTCACAGAGCTGACCTCATGGCACGAATCCCAGCCCTGGCAACCTAAAAAGCAGGCCAGGCACCCATGCCCCAAATCCCGACAGGATGGAGAGAGAGAGGGAGCTGCAGCATGACCACACCCCATAGGGGGTGCCTTCTCCTTTCCCCTCTCCTGCAAGTAAGTGCACATGCCTCTGGCAAGTTAAATAAATAAATAAATAAAAAGTCTTAGGGTCATTAAGCATGTCTTATTTTTTTGTCCTTGAACAAAGACATATTACAGAATAAAACGTCCTCTCCCCGTAACCACGTATTCTCTCAGGCCAACTCGAAGAACATAAAACAGCATGTCCTGTCCGAGTCACCAGCCAAGCTCAAGGAAGGGGGAGGACCACAATCAGGAGTCACTTCCGGGGCTGCAGAGAGGCCAGGCCTACTCTGCGTGAGGCCACTTCGCAGTCAGTATGTGGTCCCTTAATGCAAGGCAGGATCTCATGGTTTGAAGACAGGAGACACAGCCGAAACTGTACCTCAAGACAGCCTGAAGGGTGCCTCTGTCCAGCCGAGAGGCTGAAGTACTGAGACTTGACCTCTTCACCGCTCAGCTCTGTCCACACTGACAACCAGCCCTCAGGCCAGCCACGTGCAGACCACGGCCTAGTCTCGGTGCACAAGCTGTAGGGTTAGTAAGCCTTCCACCTGATCTCTCCGCCTCAGACTGGGATGTTTATTTACACCCACACTCCCCACCCCGCCATGGCTGCTGGACACCCTCTCAACGCCGAGCACCTCAGCCCTGTTTTTGACATGTAACATACAACTTCCGCAGACCCCAGAAAGTTGGGTTGGAATTTCAACCCAAGTATCTGCATCCCTGTCTGACAGCAATTTTATCACACTTTACAGTGACCAAAGATGACAGTCAAAGCAAAGGACTACGAATGCCCCCTCCACTGCGGGACGCCCCTCTTCTCAGGAACATCTTCTCTGAGTCAGAGACTCCCTCCCTTCAGGGGCCTCCTCTCTCAGAAACAGAGGAAGTCTAACTGCACCTACCAGCTGGTCATTCAGGCATCTACATGAGGCTTTTACCTTGAACCAGCCTCTGCTGTGCTTAAATCCTTTAACCCTCTGAACCTCAGGGTCCCGCAGCACACAATGTATCATTAACCCCATCCTGGAAATAAATCAGTCAGGTTTAGGGGAGAGCAAGGGGCTTATCCGAGTCATTCAGACCAAAGTGTGGTGCTTTCAGGACCTTGTGTTTTTTTCAGTATCTCACATCCACAGCCCGTTTCAGCAGGTGCTCAGATACAAGGTTAGAAGGGGCCCGTCCTGCATCTGCTCATCCACTGGGCTATGAACCTATAGACCTGTTACAGAAAATGCTAACGGGTGCTTTCGGGACCTTGTGTTTTTTTCAGTATCTCACTGGGACCCAGTGAGATAACCCACATCCACAGCCCGTTTCAGCAGGTGCTCAGATACAAGGTTAGAAGGGGCCCGTCCTGCATCTGCTCATCCACTGGGCTATGAACCTATAGACCTGTTACAGAAAATGCTAACGCAGGGCCAACTGCTCAAAAAGAAGAGGCCCATTGGAAACTGCTATTACGATATTGACTCTGAAAAGAAGACGCGATGGTTTTTAATATAGCTTTAAAATAGTACATCCCTATTTAACTTCTCTCCACCATCACCTCCACATGCAGAGGAAAAATAAATTAAAACTAACTTTTGTAAGAGCTTTATGAAGTTTAGCAACCTCTGCTCAGTGATGGAGACAGGAGACAGGCAGCTGACTAGGATGGTTAAGAATGAAATGCCGGGGGAGCCTTAGATAAA